TAGTGAAGAAAATGTAAAAAATATGAGTTCAAAGGATTTCCTAGGTCTTTATTAAAGAAAAAATAATAAAGACGAGTTCATAAAATTGCTTCGAGAAAAGGAAAGAATTGAGAAAAAGAAATTGAGAAATTTCTTCTCAAGAATTGAGAGGAATTGAAGAAAAAGTAATAAAGATGAGTATAAAAGATTTCCTAAGCCTTCATTTAAATAAAAAGTAATATTAAGACGAGTTCAAAGAATTTCCTCCGTCATTGGTAAAGAAAAAGTAATCAAGATGAGTTCAAAGGATTTCCTAGGTCTTTATTTAAAGAAAAAGTAATAATAAAGATGAGTTCAAAGAATTTCCTCCTTCATTGGTAAAGAAAAAGTAAAAAAGATGAGTTCAAAGAATTGCCTGCGTCATTGGTAAGAAAAAATAATCATGATGAGTACAAAGAATTTCCTAAGTCTTTATTGAAGGAAAAATAATAAAGTTGAGTTCGACGAGTCGCCTCCGTCTTTATAAAAGGTCATGTTTAAGTTATATTCGAAGATTTTCTCGTCAATATTGAAAAGACGTAATGCAATTGAGCTTAAAGAATTAGCTCCGCCTTTATCAAAAGAAAATTTGTAAGCTTGAATTTTACGAATTAATAAAAATATTTGATCCGTTTGAGCTTAACGAATAAGCGCCGCAACATTAAATAGAATTGAACACGTTTTAGTTCGATGAATCACTCGTGTCCTGTTATTGAAAAGTGAATAGCATTGATTTTGTCAATTTGTTGTCATTATTAAAAAATGTTGTATATATATAAATATGACTTAGACAATTAATCTATTGATATAAAATTCAACGATCGATTTGAGGAAACGAATTAACGTTGGTACACTAATAAATATTATACGGTTGAGGTGATTATTTGGGGGAGTTTTAACATTTTAATAATTGGATAGGTTTTGATTTTTCAATTAATGAGATAGATTTAAAAAATAATGTCAGAAAGTCTTAGTCTGAACAAATATTACTCAGTATTATCATAGATTTTGCGTAAAACAAATGATACGTATACTTAACTCATTTGAATTTACATGACTACGTTCTGCAACGACGCATGAGTTTTATTTTTTTTATGAATTGTCAATGGGAAACATAGCTACAAACTCTATAGACTTGCACAACTTTCATTCGTGATTTACGAGAACCAACCAAAGAATAAATATGTCAGCCACCTGATGCCGTACAATGGCTCCTACTTACACAAACGTGTTAACTCATCAGTTAGTTATTAAGAGAACCGCAAGTAGGGAAAGTGACTGAATAAGAGAAGAGCTTTGTATGTCCGGCAGCGTGCCTCATGTACAATGGAAAATAGAAGCGAGAAAATTTCAGCATCATGCCTCTCTCGTCTGGCTGTTCAAGAATGTTCTCATTTAAAAAAGAAATTTATTTTGGAAATCGGTATAACGGTATGATAGCAAAAAATTAGTCGGTCTTTGTTATCGTATTAGTCGCGTTCTTCGTTTGCAAAAGATATGAATTCGTTTGTTCCTCTTTTTCTGTAATTAAAATCGGTTCCTGTATAAACAAACTATATGCAATGAAAGAAATAAATAAATAAAATTAGTATTATACATTAGGTATGACTATAAAGTTAAAAATCGTTTATTGCGTGCATAGGACACGACATAAAAATAGTTGCAAATCGTAAAACGAAACTTCTGAATTAAAACACGTGCATCAAATATTTTCTTCTCTAAATACGACAGCCAGCATCAAACAAACACTTAATATGATAATTAAATCGACAATAGGTACATGGTGCATGACACGAATGCACAAGGTGAACAGGGTATACGAGAAGTGTGCTTGAGAGCTAAGAATTCAGTAATACATGTATATCATGTTATTTGATTTCCTTAATTGAATCCTTCTTTAATTGATTTCCTCAATTGAATCCTTCTTTAATTGATTTCTTCAATTGAATCCTTCCTTAATGGATTTCCTTAATTGAATCCTTCTTTAATTGATCCTTTTTTAATTGAATCATTACGTAATTGATTTCATTACTTGATTTAATTAATTGATTTTATTAATTGAATTCTTCCTTATTTGATTTTGTTTATCGGCGACAGGCCTACGGCCTACTATAAGCTGAAACCGCTATTATTTCTGTCATCAACAGTCTTTTATCTGAAAAATCATTTACCATATTACCGTGAATCAGTGTACAGCATTTATCGTGACGAAGTATATAGGTACGTCATTTTATCGTGTGAAGAAGCAAATAGCATTTTATCGTAAAGAAGCATATTGAATTTTAACGAGAAGACGCATATAGCATTTCATCGTGAAGAAGTTTGTATCATTTTAACGTAAAGAAGCATAAAGCATTTTATCGTGAAAAAGTATACAGTATGTTGTGATGAATAATTATAACGCATTACATCATGAAATATATGATGTAATAGTGAATAAATCATGAAATATATGATGTATTCTCTATGCAAATTCATACAACAAGAAACTATTTATAACACAATAATTTTCATGCCGTACAATTGTCTATCTCAACTGGAGTGCGTAAACATTATTGTTTCAGTAAACCTAAGTCATTATTGACCAACAGCTTGGTTATCACGTACAACACAAAGACCAAAGACGAACGTGTCTTTCAACAACAATGGAAGATTGTTTTTCAATACGGACTGAAGTTCTTATGCAAGCGGTCACTGCATGAGCGTATTTTTCGATTAATGAACATGACTAAAATCATGCAACAAACTTTGCACTGAATTGCCAAGGTATATAGATCAAAAAATTTGCACATAAGTTTCGTCGAATTCGGCCAACATTAACTAGAATAATCTTTATCTGAGACTAACTCTGAGTGGTTGAACTGAATTTTTTATGTGTATTTCTGCTGGTGAACACTTGAGGACGTGATGGGCAGATAAATGAGATTAGCTGTATTTCTGGAATGCGTTTGCACCGACGCTGCGCATACAAAGAAAATAAACCCTTGTGGACCGGAGCTTTGGGCAGTCATTAACATGGATATAAACTCCTAAAAGGTGTCGTAAACATTACGAGCAAGGGGACGAAGTATGATGAATATAAGGCACAGCGGTAAATAACTATTGATCTAAACTGATGAATTTTAGACTTCTACCGATTCATTCACAGGCATAGAAAAAGTTCAGCGTACATTATCTATTGAATTTTAGATATTACAGTACGATGTTTTTAGACTTGCCCTTAATAGAATTACACATTACCACTCTAATATTAAAAAAATCCTAGGTCTAGCCTTGTCGCACCTCAGTTTATCATAAGATTTTTCAGAGTTCCAATCACCCGCACTGAATGTATATACCAAAGCGCACTGAATGTATACACTACCTTTCAAAGCGGCTCTACATTAAGCACTGACCCCACGCTCGGCACGGCACTCAACTTGTGCTTGGCTGTTCCAGGGAACAACCGAGTCGCTGTCGACCAGCAGTACGACAACAGAAGCATAACGTCCCCCTCATGAATGCCTCGGTTGTCGTGCCAGACGTACGGTAGCGAATAACCCTCAGGTAAGCACAACTTTGTATCGATCGCAGATTCACGACTGCCCTCACTGGAAGCTGTTTGGTTCAACACACAGCTATCTTCATCACATTCCTAACTCTCTTGTTAAGATCTATCTAAGCGTTTGAATTGAAGTAGGAATTACAATTTCTATGTATATGATATATGATAATTTTTAATTATCTGTAGGAGGTAATTGCTGTGCTATGATGCGAAAGAGTTGATTATTAAGTATAGAGCTCATACACTCAAAGAAATGAGGGGGACTATTCCATACAGCGTTCAGCGATGCACTTTTTGCCCTTGTGTGGGTCATTCTGACCCAGTTATGGTGGCTAGAGGGCGTGTCAGTGCTGGGCTACCTCCCATGGTTGAATTAATATATAGTATTAATTCAACCATGCTACCTCCTCTCTCTGCTCGTGTGAGTGAGGAAGTGTGTCACTACTTGGAAATTTTGATCTATTTGTTAATCCTATCTATGTTTGATAATGAACGATGTAATTACAATTTATGAGTAAGAATTGGCGAGGAATGTTTTCAGGACAATCTCAAATGAAATATGTTCTCTAAATATGTCAATTCAGGATTATTCTCACATAAGTCTCACGCGAGATATATTGCACGTCGAGAGTGCGGGAGTGTGAGATGTGATGACATCATTTACAAAGGTATGGAACTCGCTTAATTTTGCACCTTTCTTTACCAATTGCATCTTAAGACTTTTTTAATATGGTGCGATGTCTGCCTGCAGGAGCAGGCTCTCTTACATAGAAAAGCTTTTTTTTTCATACTGAAGAGCAGCACAATCAAGTTTGATCAAGCTGACTTAGGGTTTAATTCAAGCAAGGAGTGATGTTTTATGAGGCTTGATGGCAATAACGTGATAGACCAGCAAGCGTTTTTAAATTGACTAAGTACCCTGTTAAAGTAACAATTTTATTGGAAAAGATGTTCAGCCTAAAATTTCGCAACATTGCAAAGCAAGGTCAAATAAAGGCTAAATATCTTTATTAATTTAATCAGTATATGCTACGAATTGACGGAATGAGGCATTGTTAACCTGCTTGCAGCACACGTTTTAGCGTTTTAATGAGAAACGAGCCCAGGTAAAAAAATGTGACGACAGCACGAAACACGGCTAAAATTAATTTAATCGAACTCCAGCTGAACACCGGCTATTGCCCACACGCATTGACTCACTCTCTTGCACTTATGTCGAAGTGGTTCGGCTGTGGTCGATGGCAAATTTCTGACACTAATGGCTCATTTGTTGCATTTCTAATTTAACGTTATATAATATTCATTAGCTAGCGAAAATACTGACAAAAATACCATCGACGCTATAAATACTTAACAAGATATTTTTGTATGTAATTAAATGACATCCGTTCAGTCGAACAGATTTGCTTCATATCACTGAGCCTTTGCATGCACTTTTCGCAGCAGTACTGTTCGCCTCTGAGTTTATAGTCGTCGGCGGGCTCCATCATGGCGGTTGTTTATCGTAAATTTTCCGTCAAAACTTTTGACGAATGGGATATGAGAGGAAAACTTGAAGCGTAAGTATTAAAACTTATAAAGTTCTGACAATTTAAATTCTATCTTGCTAATAATTGAATGCTTGTCGTGATTAGCAATGTCTGAAGAATGAATGTCGAGTGCCTGATGTCGATGACAGGCCACATCAGCGCCGAAATCACTATCATGCCTATGTTATGAAATGAGTAGCTACGAAACTGACGGAATACTGGATGAGAGGTCTTAATTTCGATTATTAAATATTACATCTAGCTCATGCTTCAAATTTTTTGGTTTTTCATAACTTGTTGAACAATAATTTTTTACTATGTAGGCCTACCATAAGCATAATACCATTTAAGTTTATTTTTCTGCAGATGATCAAAAATTTGCATTTTGCATTGATAGCCTATTCCCTATTAGGTACCTAATCTAATGAGCTATTTTGTCTCTTTTCTCATGTTTGAAGGATTGCTTCTGTGGATTCAGCCCTGGTTTCCAAGGATCCAAACTTTTCTGCAGGATTTAATGCAGGTGAGATACTATTATTCATGAATATTTTTCCTGTGGGTTGCCTAATTGAATTGAAATGCCTGAACTCCTAAAGGTTCATTCTAGAGTGCAGTTCTGGTTCTGGAAAAGTTGGCAGAAGCTACTCTTGAATTTGATGAAAATATTACCTAATGTGAGAATTGAGAAAATAGGGTAAACACGGTACATAGTGGCAAACCAGAGCTTTTTTAGAATCAGTTCATCTTTATTTTCCTCATTTATTCGAGATTTAAACCAATTTCTTGAGTATGATAATGCTGGTATCCAGGATACTTTACTGGTCTACTTATAGGACTCAAAAATGAACTTGAGGGAGAGTCTAAAAAACTCTCTGCTTTGCCACTATGACGCGGTATATTCCGACATCGTAGGTAATTCCGTCACCTCTCCAGCTTTTNTGATTTTACTTGGCTATACCTATTGTTTTACTGACAATCTGACATCTCTTCTGATCCTGAATGATTTTAGGTATCTTTTGTTTTTGAATGTCTTATTTCTTTTAGATTAGATTAGATGTTTAGAAAATTAGATGTTTTTAGAAATTAGGTGTTGTTTAAATTTACTAGTGGACACTCAACACTGGACAGTGGTGATGCTTTTAGAATTTTGATCCAAAAACTTATATGAAACTATCTACTAAAATTCATAATTTGATGGATGAATAATATTAATTATATTTATAAATATAAGTTACAGTTACAAATATCAAAAACATTACCTATTTAAAAATGTTTCCCAATTTATAAAAATAGCACCTAGATGAGTAAACATGACAAGTTGTTTTTAATTTTAATGCCCATTGTTTGATGTGGTTCACTGGTTACATTAATCAATCATAAGTCTTTGAAATGACCAAATAGTTAAAAAGACCAAATAGGTGAATTTAAGCATAAGAGCAAGATTGTTGCAAGATTTGTAAGAAAAAACATTGTTGTTCTTAAGATAAAAGATAGAATGTTTTAAATATAAAATAAATACCCACATCTTTAATAATAAAAATGAACCCTCGCTCACTGCCTCTCTGGCAACTGCCAACTGAAATGCTATTAAGCGCCAGCAACCGCTGACCAGAGTCTGAACCAATCAGTGAGATACCTATATTCTTTTTTTGTGACTTGCGAGTGTATGTACTACATCATTTTTCTCTCCCAATTGATATCTCCAATGTGCATCATTTTGAGCAGTGTACTCTGCTTTGTAGCACGAGATATTATTATTTCATTTAAGCTTAGTTCATGGTCTTCAATTATTGTTAATGAATGAATGCATCTTATCAGTTTAATTAAATTTTTTCTAACATCTATATGAACATTCAGGCAATTAGGTCATATGGCATTGAAGGAGTGAGTATGATTTTTGCTCAAATTATTAAGCTCAGCCTTTCAATTTTTCAAACTTAGAATTTTGGATCAAAATATTGGCCTAGATGGATCAAAATTAATATATGAACCATCATTTTAAGAATTCCATAACGCCAGACAGAAATTTTGTATTGATTTGCTTGTAAAAACAATTGTGTAATCACTTGTGAAAAAATCACAAGTGATTTTCAAAAATCACAAGTGATTCTCAAAAATCATGGCTAAAAGCTGGCAATTTTTCTATTTTTAACTGAAGAAATTGGGAAAGTGCCATGGTATTAGGTGAAATTGGAATAATTCATGTGTCTTCTGCCAATTTTCCAGTTTAGATGGAACACACCTACTTTTTCAAAGACTGGCAAGTTGCAACTAAAGTATTAGTGTTTTACTGCCATTCTTGGAGCTGAGTGATTCCTGCTGTATGTATTGTCTAAATTGTCAAAAAAAGTGTAAAATAGAGCTGAGGGATTCCTAAGCTATTGAAAATGTGTCACGTTGGAGCCATCAAAATTCAGTATAAAGACATTGTGGCAAATGAGAACGTTTTGTTGCCATTGCCTGGGATGGATGGCTTTACCACAATACCAACCAGACTCTAATAGATTTGAGTAAATCTATTAGTGTCTAAACAAAACATTGAGCTAAATGTGGGATTCTGGAGTGGGCTGATTTTAAAAAACTGCCTGATTTTAAAAAACTGCCTGATTTCCACTATGATAAGGTATTAATTTTACAATCTTGCAGACAAAAGGTCTGGTTCCTTGGCAATATCTTGAGCAGCAACCTATTTATCATATGCCTCTTGTATTTTCTCATTCAATGTTAGAAGACTTTTTTTAATGTTAAAGGATGTATTATGCCAATGAATTTCATTTTTTGAGCAGATCTGAACCAGGTCTTGTATGAGATTGTGTGGGCTGTAGTGCGAGGTCACATCACAAAATGGGATGCCAAACCTATCTTCACTCATGCCATGGTAAGGGAGTTAGCCAAGTAGTACCGTAGTTGGATTTACTTGTATGTTCACCCATTAGCATTTGCTTGTCTGAACATCACATTTGGATCCCTTGTCATTCTACTTTCACTATTGTACTATTTACAAGTATGTACTATTTATTAGCATGTTATCCTGTCTATCTGAATGAATTTGTGGATTTTATTGAATCCAGGCTATTTAGACCCAAAGATTCTTACCTTTTCCTCACAGTTTGGGATCCATATTTAATTCCACCCAAATTATCGTGTTTGTTGTGAAGTCAGGATTAATTTCAGAAATTTTTTCTGCAACAGGTGCTTTAATTGGATATTAGTATTAATTTTTGGATATTATTATTATTCAAATAGCATTTTAAACAGTTTAATGAAAATTATGTCAATATTTCCTTGCATTTAAATATGAAATGATGTTTTAAGAAGGTAATTGCTCCCCTTTTTACATACAAGTAAATCATATTCTACATTAATGTTAGTTATTTACTAATATATCTGTTTTCAGGCCCTGCATCCAGACATGTGCTCACAAGTAGTGGAGGTGTTGGCTATGGTTGAGCTTGAGACCACCACACATGAGACTTTTGCCAGGATGAGGGAAAACCTCATTGGGCTTATGCAGGTAAAGTAAATTTGATGTGGTGCAGAGCCAAGTTACTCATACTTCTGTAAGGCCTTTTATTTTCTGTGGTGCTCAGCTGTCTAGCAACAGTTCTAACTCTTAAAAACTCTTTTAGAACTTTAGAATTAAAATCATTTATATATAAATAGTATTGACAACTGGTGATGCATATATCCTTTCATTCTAGATTATAGTTTAATAACAATAATATAGACAATAGTTGCATTCTGAGCACAAGTGTTTTCTTTTAAATTGATAATTTGTTGTATTTTTTTTCAAATTATGTATGCTGTTTTGTGTGAACTTAGAGGTAGGTCTCAAAGATACACAAATCAGGAACTGCTTGTGTGAATGTGAAACTATTGAGAGTTAATGAAGACATAAATTTTATTATTCTTTTTATTATCACTAGAATGTATTATAGCAATAATAATAACACACTGGAGGAAACATAAAATGCTTAAGTTATTTACTGAAATCCTAATCCAGCTTTGTCTATCCATACTGAAAATTTATTTTACATTTATGTGCAGATTTATTGAAGCATGATTGTTTAGTTAATTGTAGGAATGCATATTAATGCTTTAACTTTGTTTCTTTGGCAGCTTTTAATGCGTTTCTCTTCTTTCCAGGCCCTTGGTCTTGAGCGTATGTACCGTGAGAGACTCGAGCTAGAAACCTTGTCTGATGTGGGCATTGTGAAGAACAAAAAATTATTCCACACAAAACAGATCAAAGTCCGAACAAAGATGTTGTAAGTTTAAATTCCTGCTCTGATTTATCTAAGTTATGTACATGAAGAATCTTAAAGTACCCATTGAATTACATTTTTGTAGTTTTTATATGTACATTTTTGTACTTTTTATACATTTTTATTATTACTCTTTTGGAAGGATGAATAATTTGGCATTGAAAGATATAATTGAATGGGAAGTTTCTAGGACAAATTGTAATCTTATTTGCCACTCTTCTCCACACTGAAAGTCCCTCTCTCTATCCTGACTTTTTTCAGTTACAAACAGCAGAAATTCAACCTTCTACGCGAAGAATGCGAGGGCTATGCAAAACTTATAACAGAATTGAATCAAAGCCTGCAACCAAACATCACTCCACAGACAATGATCACAGTCATACGCAGCCTCATTGGTGAGTTATTTTCATTAGTATGAGTCCAATTATGATGGCTTCAATTCGGTTATCTTGAAACAGGACTTTAAGATTGGTTCCTAAATGGATATGGATTTTTATATTAGATTTATATTGGCTCCTATGTCTAAATTAAATATGGATTTATATTGGCTCCTATATCTAAATTGAATTGACCAATATTTAATAAGAGGTAACTGAATAAATACATGGTCAAATTGATGTTCTAATTGAATCACAAGATTTGCAATTGAAACCAAATTATATGTTGTTTGAATTTCTTTCGCCATATCCTTGTTGTACTCTTGAACACTAAAGTCTGATGATATTAAGTTACAAAATCTATGGGTTAAAAATAAGACACATTGACCAGCGTATTTGCATCCCAATATTTTTTCAGAGGATATGGATATACTTTGCTCAGCAGCAGTCAAGTTTTCACATGTAAAAAACATTTACTTCACAAATGAAATGTTTATGCTACATGTTTTTGCAAACGGCTTTCAAAATGGCTGCACATGCACTTTTATTTGATTTTCCAGTATTTACTATAATTTTTCCTTTATTAGTACTAATATGGGTGATCTAAGTACGTATTCTAAAAATGTTAATCATGTATTTTCAATTTACTTAGCGGTTTGCTCTATTAAAAAAAAGGAAATGCATCTTTTGAGACTTGAAGTGGATACTTTTACAATATTTTTTGCACTAATTTTTCTACTTAAACTTAATTAAAACTATTAATAATTTCTTCTTGCTCCTTCAGGGTGCTTCAACCTGGACCCTAATCGCGTACTTGACCTGATCTTGGAAGCTATGGAATGTCGCCCAATTGAGCACAATTTCTACACAAGTTTGTTGAAGCTTTTCCCGTGTCAGTCGGCGACCCTGACTGAACTTTTCCGCTTCCGCATGAGTGCGTGCACCACACTTGCCATGCAGAAGCCTGTCTTCACAAGCATGGCGCTCTTGGTGCAGGCTGGAGTCCTGTCACTGGACGAGATCTATGCATGGGTATGTCTATATACTTGACTAAGAAAATCATTAGAAATGAAGATCCATGTATAAAATAGTACACTGATCTTGCATTTTTTACTACCTATTCTGTATATGTTAGTGGCTATTATCTAGCATTTACGAATTTAGGTATTTTATTCTGGAAGTGAATTTATTTATTGAGTGTTGATTCTAGTTTGATTAATATTCCTCGGTGTTGACAGTTGACCCCAGAGGACAGCAAAATGCTGGAGGACAGCCGGCAGGCTGAAGAGTCCGCTCAAGAGTATGCACGCAAAGCCAATGTCATCTCAACCAAAGACAAAGATAAAGACAAGAAAGAAGAGAAGGAAGAAGTCAAAGAACGTGAACCATTCCATGATAACAAACCAAACAGTAATCTCAAGATTCCTTTCTGCGTTGCACTGCTTGAGGTAAATTGTGCAGGATATTGGCATTATTGTTTTTTTTTTTTTTTTTGGTTGTAGTAATCTTTATATTCTAAGTAGACAATGCACAATGACAAAATTAGTTTTGAAACTGCTGAATTGAATCCAGTTTTTAGCGCATTTTCTCATTTATGGAAAAAATGCACTATTGTGCTCGCCATGTCCGTCCGTCTGTCCGTGAACTCAAGTTTTTGTCGACGAGAAAATGCGCTCTATGTCACTCACTGCAGTGAGTACTGAGTTACATTTTTTTCTATGTCAGAAATAGGTGTTGTCATAAATTCATAATATAAATGTGATTCATTACTTTTTAATGCATGTATACCATTCAATGTTGACTTACTTTGTACATGGCCTGAAAGTTCGCGAATCTGTATTATTGGCTACCGTAAAATCGCAGCTTTAGGGGAGCTTAAATTCTAAATCTGAAAGATATTCTATATTGGTTTTTAATATTTTCCATATTTCTCAGACCATTTAATAACTAGTTATATTGTTTTTAGATCGGTGACTGGCAGCATTATGAAGAGATCGCATCACGGTATCCAGACTACTACCTGGCCTCCTTCCCTACCATCAGCAACGCTCTCGCTCGTCTCTGCCACGTCTCCATAGACCCTTGCTACCGCAGGTCCGTTACACGAGTCTTGCTCTTGTTCTTAATCTTCTTATGTCTATGTGTGTATTCACATCAGCCATAGATGCCTATTGAATCATTAGATTTAGAATGATTAACTGCGCTTCTTGAAGGAATTTTTCACTTTTACTTCCAAAGCTTTATTCTCGGTTCAACTTGATAATAGAGGTCCGTCACACGATTATGGCTCTTATTCATATCAGTATTTATTCGGATTAGGATTAGTCTAAGGTTTTGGTTCATTAACTGCGTTTCTTATGGAATTTTCTACTTTTACTTGCAAAGCTTCCATCTCGGTTCAACTTGGTTGACTTCAAGTGTTGAATATGTAATCAAATACATATTACGTAGTAAAATAATTATAGGTTTATAATCTTATTTGGTAGTCTTTACCTGCTTGGATATGAGGTCTAGGTACTGGGTGCGATGGACACGTTTATTTTTAAACTAACTGCACTTCGCAATGCCGTTTGCTTGATACCACTCATCTGTTAACTTATTTTATGTGTAGGTGGTCTGTACCATAACTTTTCATCTCCGCCTTCTGTGGTTTTTGTTAATATTTATTTCATTCAAGTTTTGCCTATGATTTGGAGTTCAAAGTACTAATAAATTTCAAGCTCGAATACCGTTACGCTACCTGGGTTCTTCCTGCTTTTCATGATGAACTAAAATTTCTAAGCTACTGTATGCTTGTGGTAAAGAATGACTTTCACTAGAATTTGTATGCTTGTGGTAAAGAATGACTTTCGCTAGAATTTAGCACCAAATCATTATTTGACCTAAGGAATTGAGACGAACCTAGGGAATCTTATGTCATGTGCAATAAACATTTTCTGTACCAAGGGAAAATTAGTACAGGATAAAAACTTATTACGTATTTTTTATTTTTTCCATAATTTGTCTTAAAAGATGTTTTTGAATTCAGTACATTTGTTGCTCATGTCTAAAGTGAAATGTCATTTACAGTGTTTACATGTTACCGTCTCGTGCTGGAGGGCGCCCAATCCCCCCTCTGCACAACCCGTACGCTCTACCAACCTGCCACACTGCGGACGATGTGGCCCACATCCTCATGCCCATAGTGTGCTCCTTTGGTCCTCATATTGCCCGCCACCCATCGCTGATGGTCAAACTTCTCAGGGTCGCTCGGGTTGTCCTGGCAAAAGCGGTGAGTAGCTCCCTAATTTCTGACAAAAAAACTGAATTCACGGTGGAAAGAATGCACTTTTGATGCATGAAATTCAAACTTGCTGAATGGATTGAATACTTGATGAATGGGATGCATTCTTAATGGATATGAAGCCGTGCAATTGCTGGTATTGGTAAGACGTTAGAATAAATAAATGAACTCATTTATTAACTTATCAATTATTTCGGCCTGATTTTTAAAAAAAAATTGGTGAAGTATTTTTCCAGTGTTTAAAAGTAAATTATGTGTCGAGGAAGTAGTAAGTTTAAATTTTCTTTTAATAAGACAGATGTTGAGGGGAATGATGTAGTGACCCATGACCAGCTCCTAATTAGCATCTCCGATGTTAAGTGTTGAATTAAATAAACAATTCCTTGTCGTTGCAGGAGGAGAGCGGGAGTGGAAAGGAGCACGACGTGTTCTACTACGAGTTCCTATCAGCGCTGGACGAAGCCTTGCTGCCTGGCCTCTCTGTGCTCTCCTGCAACCCCTGCATTGCTGAGGAAATCTGGGAGACAATCAAGTTCTATCCCTATGAGTACAGGTATATTAGGGCGAGTTAGCCCACCTCAGCCTTGTTCATATTTTTATCCTCTGTAACTAACCACAATAAAACTGTTGCCACGAAATTGGACATTGAAATCTATAGCTAAGTTGAAATACAAGAACTCCTGTCACCTCTCCAACCCTCCCGAACAACTGCTAAGTTACCCGAGTGTGAAATATGCATTATTTAGGGAGCTTATGGCCTATCTGATCTCAATTGTTTATCATTTTCACCAAATAAAGCAAATTTCAATTGGAGCATTTGCTGTATCAACTTGGTTAGCAAATGACGGGCCCATAATCTTTCTCTTTTATGATGCATAACGAGTACCGTATATACGCTCTCATTGGTTTTATGAGGCTGTTTGAATGAAAAAAATGTTTTCAATGTTTTTTCAGCCCTAATTTGGGTTCCCGTTTTGCCATCTGGACATCACTAAAAGTGTCTAGGTTCATAGATTTCCGCACAATGGAGTAAAAATTGTGGTTATTTGTTCACCGGCTTTTTATTCATTGCATGGCTATTTTATAACATGTTGTTTGCATTTTATTAACAGATTCAAACTGTATGGCAAGTGGAAGAATGAGACTATGTCGGCTCATCCCGTGCTGGTGCGAATACGAACGGATTTGTTGAAGAAGGCAAAATATGTTATGATGCGTGTAACAAAAGAAACTATTAAGCCCATCAGTCGCAGCATCGCCAAACTAACCCACAACTGCCCCGCCACAATACTCGACTACGTGAGTAATGTAGTCCCTTAGTACCTATATTAATACTACTAATACTACTTATTGTGCTACTGGCTTCGGATAAAAGCTTATTGGCCAATAAGACTAATGGTGGACATTTATAGTCCCAGGTTATGTGAGCTCAGAGACGTTCAACATCACTCATGAACGCCACAATGCCTGGTCTTTATCAGCAATTTCATTTTTTATTTGCAATGCCATCAATTTTTATGCAATTTTGATAGCTATAGTATTTCGTCTGTGTCGTGGTTACAAACTAGGATGTTGCTGAACTGTGTGTGCTGTGAAAGCCGCTGTAGTGCGAAATCTGCTATTTGCCCTTAAATAAGAAATTTTTGAAGTGGATTGTAAATAAGTTTTATGTTTGAGGATTCTATGCATCTGAATATATGGAGCTTATTTTATCAAGATTTAAAAAAAGTCGAATCTATTTCTTAATTTTCACTTTATTTCAAGGCATCTGATTATGGCTTAACTTATATTTACCAAATTTTCACTTGTACTTTACCTCATTGTTTGTTATGTAAACTACGGACATTTACTGTAAAGCCTAACCCTTCATGCAGGTCGTGAAGCAAATCCAGTTGTACGACAACTTGATCTCCCCGGTGGTTGACAGCCTGAAGTACCTGACGTCCTTATCCTTCGATGTTCTGGCTTTCTGCATCGTCGAGACTCTTACTACCAATAAAGAAAGGCTAATCAATGCAGGTGGGTATCTGATATTTTTATTATTTCAGAAATTATTGAGAGTTTAGTGAAACTAGGTGCTTAATTCTGTATTAAAAGCGAGCAGTAAAATTGGTATTAAGAGCAAGCAGTGAAATTGGTAGGTATTAGAAGCAAGCAGTTTACTGAGCCGTGGCACAAATAGAGAGGACAAAAAAATACCTGATCAGAATTTTAACTTTGTATAAATCAGTAGATTAACTGAAACTGCTTAGTTATCACAACAGTGTCAGACTTTACCACGCTTTAAGGTAAGTAAGGCAATTAAACCTAATTCACTTCCTCAATTTGAATCACTCTTATAAACCAATTTGAATTCTGAGTATACGAATCACCATCGGCGTTCTATAAAAAAAAAAAAAACATAAGAAAACTGACACAAAGAGACGCATGTAAATGAGCAGCTTGGCAGTGCTTATATCAGTACAGCAAAGCAAGATTTACTGTAAACAATGAAGTGTGCAGCAGATACAACGTACGTCTCAAGGAGCTCAGTGTTGAGGCTAGGCGTGACGTGGTATGTCATCAAGCGGGAAATCTTAATTGTTAAGAAGCTTTTCTTCACACGATGCTCAACTATTTCGCGCTCGCCCATGCCGGAAATTGTGAAATTATTAACTGAAAAATGATCTGAAACGATAGTTATATCAAGAGTTCATGTGTATCACGATTTTTTTTTTTAAATTTTGCTGTTCCGGCTGTCTATATATACAAGAAAATGTATAACATTCACGCCGTATATCTCGTTTTTATATTATTCAATTTGTTTTCCGTGCAGGCATGGCCGTTTCTCCATGGCTGAACTCTCTGTCGACCTTCTGTGGGGCGGTCTACAAGAAATACCCCATCGAACTGTGTGGGGTTCTTCAGTTCATTGCCAACCAACTCAAGGCCGAACGATCCGTTGATCTTCTTATACTGCAAGAAATCCTCCAGAAAATGGGTGGCACTGACACCTCTGAGGGGCTCACCAGACATGCCGGAAATTGTGAAATTATTAACTGAAAAAATTATCTGAAACGATAGTTATATCAAGAGTTCTTGTGTATCACGATTTTTTTAAACAATTATGCTGTTCCGGCTGTCTATATATATACAAGAAAATATATAACATTCACGCTTTATGTCTCGTCTTTCTATTATTTAATTTGTTTTCCATCCAGGCATGGCCGTTTCTCCATGGCTGAACTCTCTGTCTACCTTCTGTGGGGCGGTCTACAAGAAATACCCCATCGAACTGTGTGGGGTTCTCCAGTTCATTGCCAACCAACTCAAGGCCGAGCGCTCCGTTGATCTTCTTATACTGCAAGAAATCCTCCAGAAAATGGGTGGCACTGACACCTCTGAGGGGCTCACCAGCGAACAGGTGAGCTATCACCACATCGTCCTATGAACTTTTGGAAATTAGGCTGTATGCTGTATCTTAATGCTGAAATGATAATTATTTATTATCATTGATTGATAATCCATAAAGTTTTCTGATGAACTCTTCTTTTCGGATACGATTGTTGTAATTGATTGCAATTTATTATGAAGTCAATGTTGAGTCAGATTATTTTTTCCAAGTGAGTTGGCTAACAATTTTTGCCATGCACATGTGATCCTTGTTATCATGTTCACGGAATAAAATAAATATTGGGACATAAACCATGTCAGATCGAAGCAATGAGCGGTGGAGAAGTGCTAAGGCGTGAAGCGGGCACCTACCAACAGGAGCGCAACACGAAGAGGTCGTCACAACGACTGAAGGAAGTCTTGCTCCAGAACAATCTTGCCATTCCTCTTCTGCTGCTCATAGCGCAGCAGCGGTCATGCATAGTGTACAACCAAACCGAGTCACCGCACCTTAAGCTCGTCGGAAAACTCTATGATCAGGTTAGTGGTGCTACATATTGTACAATCAATTTGAGCACAGCTATTTGGCCTAAACTCTGTATGAGAAATGTACATATTCATGCAAATACTTGGAATACATACATGCATGTAAGATACAATACTTGTATTTATTCACATATTCCCGTGCATTTGCATAATTACATCCTTTATTTTCGTGTGATTTACACCTCCGAGATCATGTGTTGCAAAAAGGCTCATTTATTTTACTAAGAAAGCTTGTGGTTGCACAGTGCCAGGAGACGTTGGCGCAGTTCGGAGCGTATTTGTTCCAAGTGATCAGCCTGGAGGAGGTGTCAGAGAGGCTGCCCAGCATCGGCTCCCTCCTGTCAGAGTGTCACATCAACTCTGACGTGGCTTTCTTCCTTGCTCGACCCACTGTGTCTGCTAAGATACTTGTGAGTAGACATTGAAGAAATATTTTACTCCTAGTTAAGTATTTCCAATTTTTTCGCAAGATAATTATTTATTTTTTCGTTGTTTAACTACTTCTGAGAACATCATTTTCGAACAGAAAATATGCATCTCATTTTATTTTCTATGTTTCCTCTCACGATACCCATTGTCTTCTTAGAAACTCGTAAGTGCACCGTCCACAGTGAAATCTTCCAAGTGAAGTATTTGGAATTTCGCACGAGTGTATTTATTTCCGTTATTGATATACTCCAGAGAACATAATTATGAAATATCTAATTTTTCTTCCAAATTTCCAGACTGTCCTTAAGCTTCATTTTTGTCTGCTTATCCATGAACTAGTTTAGGATCCCGCAGCTGGGTGATTTGCTCCTATTTGTAGACAATGACAATTATCACAAAAAGACGCAGTATGTATGGCTGCACTTTAATTCAAACTGGATATGTTTATATTATGCATGAAAAATCTGAAAGAATTCACAATTCATAAATGAATTCTTGCCCTAAATGCCTTCAAAAATTGTCGCGCTTCACGCGTAGCTAAAAATTAGTTCCATGTCATATTTATTTCCACCAGGCTCGGTTTGATGAGCTGCGCCGCAGTAACCGCTCAGATGACCGCAAGCAGCTCTACATTGATGCCTCAACTGAAGTCCTCACGCCTCTGGCAGAGGAGATACGTCCTCATTTCCCCAGCAAGGTATGTTGACATTATTGAACTCTGGGAAGCACATTTACTGATCATCCAAGTAGAAAAATTATTTTCCCTTGAATTGACACACGTTATAATTTTAACATAATATTCGAATAAATTTAAGATATTGAGGATATGTTTGCGATGCGCATTTCTAGCTTAGAAAATTATTATTATTCGGTGGTAGATATTATGTATTGAGTTATGCTCCATGTAATTTAAACAACTCCCTGTGAAGAGGTCGTTGTTTTATCCTGTCTGAAGGTGCGCCTGCATGAAGTTGTTTATTTCTATGCTTGTTTGTATCAATGTTAGTGACATTGTTTTTTTTTTACAGCTGTGGGAGGAGATGCACCCGTCGTTCTTCGTAACATTCTGGACACTAAATTTGTCTGACTTGGAAGTGCCTACCGGGAGCTACAAGCGGGAGGTGGCTCGCTTCAATGACAACATCACACAACTGCAGAAAGTGCCCAAGGACGAGCCTGTACGTAATATTTCTGTCAGTTTTCTATTTTATATCTGCATAGTCTTTTATTTATGCCCAATTTTTGTGTTCTTCAATTACTGCTTATCAGTATCGGATATCATTGTATTTGTAATGGGCATCTCATTCTTCTAATGAATTCCTGGTTGGATTTTTCTAATCATCTCGTAATCTTCTTTGTCAAAAATTATTGGGTTTGAAAATCTTGAACGGGTCCCAATTTCTTTTATCCTTAAATACGTGGTTGAATATCAATTCAATCATTATCGGACATCGACTTTAATCTATTACAATTGAGCGAGAAAGAACAGCGCTGTCGAATTGCTCTTTCAATAACTGAATAACAGATCAGACTCATTCCACTTACGGTGGATAAGTGAAACAGGACGACGTAACTTACAAAGATCCTGTGGGTCGAGTCACTTAGTACCTGCGGATCAGCAAAGAAGAGTAGCTTTTGTTTAGAAAAGCCGCGTAGTTCACTTTGACTTTAGTCACAATTTTGCTTGGATTTTTGTTCGTGTTTAGTTACAAATTGGGTGAACTTACGGGGTCCCACTGTACCGTACTTAAATTTGTTATTGAAACAAGGACTGTAGAATTAAGAATCAAAACAAATATATATTATTTGATTTAAAATTGGAAAGATGGTGTCGAAAAAAATATTGAAACAATCACAGGCAGCACTGGCTACCAAACGCAAGAAGGAGCTGGAACGCATCATGTCTCTCAGGGACAAACTTCTGGAGGAAGAAAACCGGCAGCAGGAGCACGTGGACAGAGTCATTGGCCGCCTCACCCAGGCAAGTCTTGTTCTCCCTTTGTTTTGAATTTGTATCGAATCCTTTTTAGCGCATTTTCTCATTTATGGAAAAATGCCCTATTGTGCTCGCCATGTCCGTCCGTCCGTGACTTCACGTTTTCGTCGACAAGAAAATGCGCTCTCTGTCACTCACTGCAGTGAGTACCTACTGAGTTATATTTTTTTGAGAATATCTTCCTGTTTAGCGGTGGTGTTTTGTTTGAATCTGTAAAACATTTTTGTCTAATTTTCTTCACAATTAATGGAAGTCAAAAGTCGTTGCTTGCTATCTGCTATGCACTCATGACTGAATCGTACTTATTCACGTTTTATACTCGCGCTCCTAACTTCAAGTGGGCATTGAAATTATTATTTTTTTCAGGAAAAAGAACGTTGGTTCACGCAGCGGGTTGCGTGCCTGCCTAAGAACGACACAGTGACGGCCTTCTTGCAGCTCTGCCTTTTCCCGCGCTGCACCTTCACTACACTCGATGCTCTCTATTGTGCACGGTTAGCCCATAACTGGCATTCCTCTTTTTTACATCGAATGTGAATTTCATTAGATAAAAACCATGATAAAAATCAAAGCTTCTATTTTCTTTGATGAGCTCTAGTAGACTCGTTGAAAAACAACAAAATGAATAGCATAGTCATTCATGTTCAAAATTAATGTAATTACAATTTTGATCTATTAAATTTGACTCATTTCTTGATTAAATAAATGGTCTTCCTTATTTTTTACGGTACTGAGCTTCCTACCATAACATTTCTAGTATTTGATATAAATGCTATATAAATACTCCTCTTACTAGTAATGTGTTAAACCAATATGAAGTACTCAATAAATTGACTAAAAAACTGGCATCACGTAAACTGATTTTTCTGTTTCTTGATGTTAAATTTTACTTTCCCGTTGCAGGTTTGTGAAGATGATGCACGAACTGAAAACGCCGAATTTCTCAACTCTCATCTTCTGTGATAGAGTGAGTGACTTAGTTGCTCAATCTGGAGCTATTTGTTGTCATTCTGCTACATTTTAGTTATAATGTTCAATTTGCTCTTAAGGACTACGGTAGTTGAACGTGACACTAATGCTTTTTCATAATATTCTGCAATATCATTTACACAGGGGCTTATCTTTTGAAAGTAGGGACAGGCATAATATGTTTGTAATATATACATTCATTCGATGTTGTGCTAGATAACGTACACGTTAACAATAATTTGGACTGAAGCTGTTGATGTAGCACGCTTGTGATAAATACTTACAATCGATCTTGTGCTACATCGCATTCATGGTACCTCTAATTTTGATTGGAGCTGCAGAAATAACACGATTTCAATATTTTATTGTCTGCAGATATTCTGCGGCATCACATAGGTACTCAGTTGCAACCATTTATATTAGAACTGCAGGAATAACACAATTGTAGTAGATACTTGTACGCAGATGTTCTACAACATTACGTTCACTGTGGCAACAATTTATTTTGGAGCAGCAGGAATAACCCGATTGTAATAGATACTTGTACACAGATGTTCTGCGACATCACATACACGGTGGCATCATGCACCGAGCAAGAAGCGCACCGCTACGGCCAGTTTTTGCACGGCACCCTTCAGATGGTCATGCACTGGCACTCTTCTTCTGACAACTACGAACGAGAGTGCGCCAAGTTCCCAGGCTTTGTCACAAGGTTCAGGGTCTCCAAGATGGAGTCCAATGATTATGTTGACTACGAGAACTATCGACATGTGGTTCACAAATGGCACTTCAAAATCACAAAAGTGAGTTTAACTTCTAGTCCTCAGTGCTGAATCGTTGATCTGTCCTCTATAAATGTTTTAACTGCAAAGAAATTACAATACAGGCAGTGACTGCTTCAGGCATGAATGAACGTTTAACACCACTTGTTCAATAATTTTTATTAATCTCGTACAAAACTCTCTATTCTATTATGATGAAATTTTCAGCGTTATTAATTCAAACAATTTAAATTTGAATAAATGTAATCATCACGCTTTGGTACGTTTTTTTATGCAGCAGATAATGTCGTTTTTCAGGCCCTGGTGACTTGCCTTGAAAGTGGCGACTACATCCAGATCCGCAACGCAATCTTAGTGCTGCAGAGCATCCTGACTTGCTTCCCTGCCATCGTAAACCTTGCCAACGTCATTGATAAGCGTATAGAAAAGGTACAATCCAATCTTCTTCTCACAACGCCTAATGCCTTCAATCGCGAGTCCATAATTTTGATTTCGGCATTAGAAATGAATTCATAGGGGGGTTAGTTTGTAATACCCGTGCAAGTGAACGGTTTTTATTTAAAAGAGGAACTTCAAAATTGGACAATATTTATTACATAAATGTATTAATACTTATAACTTTTCTTTATTGACAGTACAGTACTAAGACTATTCAATGGGCATCAAATCTCAGCAGCGTACTTTCTGGGGTGAATTATTTAATTGAATATATAATGTATAGATTGTCACTCTATACTTGTCAGAAAATGTCAGTTTATCTTAATACGTAATATAAAGTTTCTGTTGAGCTCATCTTGGAAATACGCAAGTGAGACTGAAAGTTGATCATGTCAGTGAAGAGATTCTGGCTTGAGAGACATTGTGCTTCGCCTTTTACAACATTGTTGGTAAGGTTGTCATTAGTTGTTAAAAGTTATAGAAAAAGCTGGAATTTCGTATTTGATTTCTAAGTAACTTCATTTCTTTTAATTTCATAAATTCGTCAGACATCGTTGCTGATGCCATTAATAATAAACTTTTTGTGTTAAAAACCTTCAAACGAAATTACCAAATCAATAGAGTTATTATCATGAACGTAATCTGGGATTTGTTGAACGTTTTTTTTTCTGCAATATTTGTTTTATGGCTGAAATATTATTCCAGGTAGTAGTAGTTGCACGGCATTTATATAGATTTTATAAAGAGAGGAAGATCAAGTCTGAATTATGTATTCTCCACAGCCTATGAGTGCAAGTTTCTTATACTTCTAATTTTATGACTAAACTTGTTGTTCTTCTAACCAATGCATGTGAAGCATGTGAAACTTTTAATACGTTCCCTCCAAGTAAATGACGTAGAAACAACGTTGATAGCGACTTAATTTAATTGAAAAACGTTTTGTCAACGTTAATTCAGCTTGAAAGTCCAAATTAGTTTGCATATGCATGGTCAACCTAAAATATTGACATATACGTGCATGATTGTTTTGCTGGAACTAAATTTCATACGTTCTGTAATCCACTAATACTGATTTGTATTTCAGGTGAAGAAAGACGAGAAAAACAACCGCAACGATCTCTACGTGCTGGCTAATAGCTACTCAGGCCGTCTGAGGGCCAAGAAGTCCAAGCTCTTGCAAGAGAAAGACTTCCATCAGGTGCGCAAGCCGGACGAGAAGCGACCTCCTCAGCAGGGCGGTGAACCTGCCACCAACGGCGTCGACCCTAAGGTAAGATTATTATTCTATTATTAAGTATATTAAGTATTTATCTTGCTGATGGTTTCAGTAAAGACCTGACGGGTGCTCTTGAATTTATTGGCGGCTTTGTGATCGAGCCTAAATTCTAGCTTGAATATAAAGTTTATTTTATATTAGAACAAGTGTCAGTATAGGTTGTCGCATAAGTTGTCAACAACGGCGATTAGCCTGAGGTTGGGAGGTATAACTGACTAGTATTTGTTTTAATCCTGAAATTGAAATCTTTGCAATGAAACGTCGAAGGTCTCTTGAATGTAATACCGAATACTCCTAATTCATAGTCTCCGTAATCATTTGTAGTCTCCTGTTGAAAGATATTTTTTTAACTTTTGGGCCAGCCACTACATGTTTTTCACCGTTGCCCTTTCATTTGGAAAATCATTTTTATAACAAAATTCCATTAGCTAAGGATCTGAATTCAATTGAATACACAGTTTAATAGTGGCCTAATTGAATTGGGTGATTATTTCATTTTTGTATTGTGAAATTATTAGAAAGTCTTCTTTTATAGGGATCGGAAGAGGACAAGAAAGTCGACCACAACAGCTCCACCAACGACAGCAGCAAGTAAGCAGAACTGTTGTAGCAAAGAATAATTGATTGGTGTAGCATTGCTGTTGTAGCATTGCTGATTGATTGGTGTGTTCATTATCTCGCCATGCACTATGTAGCTAAAAATGATTTTCTACCTTATTTTAGCCGTGGATTAGTTTTGACGTGTCCATGAAACGTCCTACTCAGCTATTAGTCTTCTGAATGTAATAGTGCTGGTAACATAACACAAATACTCTATTAGGTTACACAATTATACATGCCTGGATTAGTTACCTTGTGGTAGGTACATGTTAAGCAATAATGAATTCTTTTGCTTGTGACCCAGAAACTCCGGAAACGCACTAGTCTGCTTGCCATCAATTCTATTAGTACTAAGTTTGTCACAGGAAAAGCTTGCATTACTAATAACAAATGTTTTTCAATCCCCTGAAGTAAATTCTATAAATGATTTCCTTAATTTTCTAATTAAAACACTCTCCTGTCAGGTTGGACAACAATACCAATGACCAGAACGATGCTGATTCTCGACGAAAAGACGCCAAAAGAAATAAGGTTTGTGCTCCAACTGTGACAACCCGAACATACAATCCACTTTTACTTAAAACTAATCTTAAAACTAATGACTGCACTTACTTTTTCGTGAACAATAAAAAGTCTAGAATAAGGAAATTAAATGCGTAGAGGGCAATTATTGTATAAATACATTTATTTGCAGGTTGGTTGCCTTGTCGAAATGTTAGATGATTTGCTATACAGTAGCAAGTAATTTTAGCGTTTCCGTCGGTCATAATTTTGTCCTTTTTATGGTCATTATGTTGCTCCAAACAGCTGTTGTTGCTCACTGAAACTCCACCCATTAATCTCTTATTATTGCAGTGCCATAAGATGGTTTGAAAAATAATTTTTTTTTACTTCAACATCTTTATCAGACTGATGCTGACGATGACGATGTGAAGGAAGTGGGCCCTGACAGCGACGAGTCAACCAACGACAGCGACTCCCTGCGCAGTGAGTGTCTCCTGCTTACCATTTTGAACTTCGTCTCTATCTTGTACCTTAGTGCTTCTCTCAAATGAATCTTAAGCTTAGTGGCACGTATGCTAGTGTTCCATATGTGCGCTGTGAACATCAAACATGAACACGTTCAATAAATATTCAGGGAAATTTCCTTGCTTTCCTTTCAGCTTTTAAAGCCTTATTAACCTAGAACAAGCTTTTTTCCCGATGATGAATATTCTAAATAAACTGCTTACTTATTAGCTACTTAACTCATACTATCTCTTATAAATGTTCATACATGTTTGGCATTTATTATTCAATTTTTAGTTCGCAGTTTGCATATTGAGGTAAGAGCCAGCACAACAATGTAATTTTACAAGACCTTTTATTTTATTTGCAGAAAGCAAGAGGCAGAAGACGGATGGTTCTGGGAAGGTCAGTATGGGCAGCACTGCTCAATCTGAGTTGGTATGTTAACGTGTACAGGATTGCGCTGCTGCACCGCATGCGTTGCTGTGCACTGCAGTGTGCAGGGGCCCACGGCACCCCTCTTGCAACTGCCGCCTATCACCGCCCTCTCTTCCCTCATCTTGGTCGTCGTCTGTCATCGGAAATTTGTTTATTTTACATCGTCATCGCATCCTTCTAATAAATTACGGAAATATTTTTTTAAAAATCAAAAGTGAGATTCGTATTCCTGCAAAGTTTTAAATTGACTGGTTATGTGTAATAAATGAACTCAAAGAGTGATTGGTGGCCAAAGAAATTTTAGGCTTTGTATCTATGCCGTTTGTAAATAATAGTGAATAATTAAATGAAAATACGGAAATGCGTTGGCATTAGCATAGCTTATTGTGGTGTTCTGACGTGGTAGTGTTGCACTTGGCCATCATGAGAACTGTGACAACACTTGGTGTTACGTGAACATGTGAATCAAACGAATAAAGCTCGACGCAAGGACGGCCGCAGAAGGAGCCAACACAAGAGGGTGGCGACACGCGCTGATGTAGTGACGCTCTGAGCGACGAGGGATCTTATGGTAGGTCATGCTTGCTATTCTCAGGTAAGAAGGTTGACTTTGTCTTGACGCGCTCTGGTGCTTTTCGGTAAGACACTCGGTTGTCCCTGCTACTGACTTTTGAGAGTTGCCTACTTCCAAGCAGCAGCGGACGTGTTTTCATCTGCTGGTGTCAGCTTAAGGATGTTTTTAGTTGATCATTGGCGCCAAGAATCAAATTTCAGGTAGGTAGTTGTTCAACAAAAAAGCCTATTCTAGTAACAAAGTAATTATTGTCTTCGTGTTTGTTTTAACAACGAGGAGCGTGGCGGATTTGAGTGAGAAATGGTATGCAGAAGACTTCTAGTCCCTAGTTGACTAAATTACACTGAAATCAGTCAAGTCAATGGCCAATTTCAAAAATGCTGTCATTCATTTCATGTTTCAGTTGCTTCATAATTTACCAAGAATTCGAATGTTTGCTATTCAGCTACAAAGCAACAACAAACGTCTAATTTTATTAGTTGAAATATTATTCGCCAGCTCGTCTGTTGCAGTGGCGTAACCTACGTCTATTTTCGCAGCATGTATGTGCTGGCGAGGACATGCACGCAAGACTCATCATGATGAGAGCGTCGGTGGTCGAGTTTTAGTGTGTGCGGCGATGTTGGGCGAGCCTGGCTTCTCCGTCGCTCACTGTCAGCCTTACTTTACTTTACAGAATAATGATGATCCCCACGCCCGCGTCAAACAACCTCAAGACGACTCGCCCAACAAAAGGAAGAAGGAGCGCAAAAGGGTGGGTATTATTTGTTTGTGAAATATGTGATCCTACCCGTGATCCAGTGGGTAGAACAACTTGCTATGCCCGACATGGAAGTTGGAAGGAAGTTCCCATGGAAGTTACCTGCTGTCATGGGAGGATGATTTTGAGGCAGCAAGTTAGCGTGGCCGTGGACAGGGAGCTGTCTAAAACTCATTTGAAAAGCAAAAACATCATTATTTTTATTAGTGTGGTAACTGTCCTTACAGCATTGCACTAGCGATGTATTTTATAGCTTGTTAACCTATCCTATAGTGTCTATGTCACGGACGGATTAAGTTTTCAGTGAAAAATTTTCATTCCGAATGTTTCAATTTTACAAGACAACGTAGTAATTTAAAAAAAAATCTATAGGTATTACTTAATATTGCATTACTTTTTAAATTTTGTTACTACAATGTTTTTCGCATATGCATCACAATCGGGCTTCCGTTGATCCGTGTCTAAAATCTCAAGATGACGATCGGTAGTTTTGTTCTTGTTTTGTGTATTTATTAGAAACTAATTCTGTAGAAAATAAAAATGATTGTTCAAAGTTGATCAATTATTTAATTGATTATTATTACAAATCGCATATCATATTGGATCCAAAAGTTTGTGAAACTTTGCTTTTGTTTTATATTTTGCTGATATTTAGAGCTGATCAACAGTTATCAAACTGTTATAAAACTATTATAGAATAGTTTTCTAACAGTTACATCCAGGGCAACCTAGGGGAACCTGTTTTATTGAGAATTGGTTGCTAGAGAAAAAGGCTCCCAGTAGAAATACGTGCAATAAAATAGTTTCCCCTAGGTTGCTCTGGATATAACTGTTATAAAACAATTAAACATTCCATCTTAAACATATGAAACACCTTTCATAGAATACCTCCCTGCAGGAACGGTCGGTGGACGAGGCTGTGGACGGAGACCCGAAGCGACAACGCGGTGACAGGCGCAGCAATGGTCGTCCCATTGAGCAGGTAAATTGATATATATTATATTGTCGGGCTAATGAAATGAACTAAATATTCCTAACAAATTAGTGTTGAATTTAAAAGCTATTGTCATTCTTTCCATTGTTGAAAAATGTCTTGCAGCAAAAATATTTTGGTAATTTTTGAGTATATTTAATTAAGTAAAATTTATTTTTATATGCTGCCAATAATTTGTCGATTAATTCCAATAACTAATGTCAAGTTGAATTTAATGGCATTCTCGTTGAAATTAATTCAGCGTAAGCGTCTAGAAGTATTTATTAACTGTATATCTCGACACGCTTCACAATGACGAAACGCAATATAATATGACCAATAACAAAAAATTCTACAATATTTATCGGAGTTAGTGTAAGACGTTGAATGCACCTACAGGTTGATGCTGAAGTCGTCGAGCTGGATCGTGATGACAAGAAACGAAGCTCGCGTCGCCGTAAAGAAACTTAGACGTGCGTCCCGCATACGTCAACTAACTGGATTGCTGCGTTGGCTCTGTTGCTTGTATTAATACACTTTCTTCAGCCGATCGGTTAAAAACGTAACTTCTCTTGGCTGAATCGTATTCTTTCGGCATTGTATAGTGTTTCGTCTCGTATCCAAATTAAGTTGTTTTTGATCTATGGAACCATGGATACCAGGTCTTGTGTAAAAAAATGAAGGCCATATTAACGTCTAAATTAGGATTCATCTGTAATCACGGACACCAAGTGAAAGGAATGACCAAGTGCTAAACCGATCCCACACTGGAACCCACTTAAAAGCTTTATCTAATTGTTGGACGTAAAAAGTCTGACAGTCGTACCATGTTCAATGGCTATTTTATTTTAACACTTAGCTCTAATTTTCTTCAATTACAAAGTAATGTTACTTTGCTTCATCATTTTCCTTTTTCAGTGAGCTATAAATGTAATTGCTGTGACAATCGTTTGAGGTTGAAATGATCTTGAGGTTATAAATTTATAATCAATGGATCACTATGAATTTGTCTTCTTATCGCATTTCTGTACAGTTGACAAAAAAGCGAATCCTTGATTTGTCAATTATGCTTCATTGAATGCATTTTAGTTGAAACGCAACGATGTCAACAAAAAAAAAATCTAATACTCGTTCGGAATCTCGAACGGGAGTGCTTGTATTACCGTTACATTCGTGAATTCATCACAGAGATTTAGGCCCTCTATATAAATTAATACTTCAGCTTCGCATCTAAGCTCCTGGTGATGCGTTGCTATCACAATGCAACCAATTTTTACACGGCGGTCAAGATTTCGATTGATCACGAAAAAATTGATGACCGTTAACATTGTCAAGAATGATCATTAATGGTAATGATCGGAAAAATGCGCAGCAATGATTCCGGCGAAGTAAATCAAAATCCCTACTTGAAATTGCAGCAGCGTTAAAATCCTGTTGCTAGCTTCACAGATTTTGCGGTCTTCTAAGTAATGCGTGAAATATGAATGACATCTAAGCCAAAGGAGAGCTGTAAGAGGGTGCGCGCAAGTCTCCGTCAGTGTGTGTAGAGGAGCTTTGAGCGGCGCTGGTGGCGATCACATTGCGGGCCTGCAGGACAAGCGGCATGTCGATCATGGAACCTTGATATGTGAAAGCCCCCTGCACAGAGAAATATCGAAGATAAACTACAGCACAATATAGGAAGATAGCTACTACGGCGTGATTAGCGCTTAGACGCCAAATATATTGACCGTTGACTATGTTTATTTCATTGGAGTTTTTGCAAACTAGAGTTTTGTTGGTAGCAAAAGTAGTATACTTGTAAATTAATTTCGAATTTTAAAAGGACTAACAGCTCCCTGTGTCTGATGTTTCTCGTACGCTTCTAGTAGCCCTCTAGCCCACTGGACGCGCTTCGGTGAAGGAGAGAAAGCGCGCTGGACAATATCCACTTGGCATGGGTGAATAACCTCGGTAAAAAATAAGGGATTCGTTAATATGGGAAGCTTGGCAGGCGGAAAAAATAGTTTGTAAAATATAATCACTTGCATTTGAACGTTGAATTAATCATGTTTATACACAAAATGTAGTTATTACAACGTGGTACCTTTGAAACGAGCATTGCTCCGCGAACAACATACATATGTAACTCCAATTCATGACGTAACAACTTATTTCAAATTACATAAAGAGAAAAACACTATTCAATTTAAATTAAAAGACGTACTGACTGGAAATTGTGAAGCATGCCTAAGTCAGTTTTGATGAAGTTCAATTTTATTATAGACGAATTTAGCTACGCACTACACTTAGATATTGAATACAAAACACAATTAATATTTCCTAGGTGCACATAAATCCAAACCTCACCTGTTTGCCGGTGAAACCAAATTCTGCGCCTTCTACACTCTGTCTTTCTAGCCCAGCCAGATCTGCAAGAAACATTTCAAGTAAATTTGATGATAGTTACTTTTTATCAAAACCGTTCATTTAGCATAAGTATTAGCAGTCACAAAGTGAGAGTAGATTCATAAATGCTGAGAAAATGGCTCATCAAATCTTCTCTTAGTTGTTCGAAAGAGTTGTTCATTTTCGTCAGTAATAATCAATACAAATGTTTTTAAATTTTTAAAAAGTTCATGGATGAACTCACGAGCAACATTGGAACATATCAGCCAAACCCTGGATTGTCACACGTCTTAAACACTGGAGTTAGAACTTTACATAATTTAAAGTAGCAATTTAAAACTACAGAATAGAGAAAAATCACTTTTACGCAACTCACTGATTCAAATTCTACCGTGCTAAACCGCCCGGCCTCCTTGCCGATTCTGACCAGAAACTGGCGCACAGAGCTGGGATCGAACCCGCGCCTCTCTGCGCCAATCTTGGTACTCTGAACTTTTAACCACTGGGCCACCCTGTTGCAAAGCAACTTCAAGTAAATTTGATGATACTTTTATCAAAACCGTTGATTTGGTACAAGTATTAGCAGTCACAAAGAGTAGATTCACAAATACTGAAAAAGGGGCTCGTCAAATCTTCTCTAAGTTGGTCGAAAGAGTGGTTCATTTTCATCAGTAATAAATAAACACATATTTCTAACCATTATAAAGTTCAAGGATGAACTCACGAGCAACATTGGAAAGCTCTGTTTATGCAAATACCTACACATTAGCCACAACATGGATTGTCACACGTCTTAAAAAACACTCGATTTAAAACATTAGATAATTTATAGTAACAATTAAAAACTAGCGAAAAGAGAAAAATCACTTTTATAGTCGATGTAAACAAGGTCGATGGCCTGTAGTCTGAAGGATCGCACCACGGATACAAACTTTTGTCTTGCGTACAGCAGCTCGCGCGCTAAGCTTGAGCGCGTCATACCTGAAATAAATGCGGTACAAGACATTTTTTTGTACATTGAAACTGGCTTCCAGAGCAGTCTGCTCAAACATGAAAGAATATCATTCCACTTTCTTAGTCTACTGTTTCATGGAAATGGCACGTATCACATTAAAATAAGAATGAACAACTGAATGAATGATCTGCTGTCACGATGACAAATCTCCTATTTTCCCTACCGATATCAGCACAGTAATCGTCAGACCCGAAGACAAAGCCATCCAGCAGGAGGGGAGGCGGAAGCCCCAGCCCGTGTTCGCAGAGCTCTGCCAGCCGCAGCAACGACCGTCCGGACTCGCAGAAGAGGAACACTCGTAAAGGTTCCTCCAGATGACGTCCTTCCAGTAGTCTTACCACCTCACTGGCGAACTGTGAAATAAACTAAAGTTACAAGGCGGTTGAATTGATGTGCATTCTAAAACGTCTAACAAATAAACAAATAACACTGTTCCCTTCAGAAGGTAGCTTGCAAAGGTAAGATTCGCTGAAAGTGAGGAATGGAGTGAAAAATTCGCCTGTCCCGTGTTGTCTTTCTTGATTTAGTAGTAAGGCTGTAGTTTAAATGATTGGGATACTGCTGCTCACGAGGATAAATTGTGTAAAAATAGCCTACCATCGATTTAGCGCTGAGCAATGCTTTGCTCGACAATATCAAAGTATTTTTAACAAGGAACAAGATTTGTTTTATCCAAATGGGGCCATTAAGTAGTATTCCCCCATGTTTCGAGGGCACCATATGAAGAAACAGACAAAGTTTACGCCGGTTCCGCTTCCAACCCTCACTTCTCTGAGCGCTTGATTTGGATTATTGCACTCCTATACCCTCCGCCAACCATGGAGGCAAGAGAACAGCGGAAAATTAGATATCATTTGAACAATTCTGTCATAAAAAATTAAATTGTACACGGACATATAGAATGATTGACCATGTCGAAGTCGCGACTAATTTGGAATTACAAAATATTTACATTATTATACAAAAAATACACAACAATTTCAATGATAGATTGACCACGTCGAAGTCGCGACTAATTTGGAATTACAAAATATTTACATTATTATACAAAAAATACATAACAATTCCAATGATAGATTGACCACGTCGAAGTCGCGACTAATTTGGAACTACAAAATATTTACATTATTATACAAAAAATAAACAACAATTTCAATGATAGATTGACCATGTCGAAGTCGCGACTAATTTGGAATTACAAAATATTTACATTATTATACAAAAAATACACAACAATTTCAATGATAGATTGACCACGTCGAAGTCGCGACTAATTTGGAATTACAAAATATTTACATTATTATACAATTATAACCTGGGTATTATTTACTAATAAAGCTGGGTTTATTTACTAATAAAGCTGGGTATTATTTACTAATAAAGTAAATAACAATATCAATGATTGATTGACCATGTCAATGTCGCGAGTGGAGTCAACTTTGGGCAGGTGCAGCGTGGTCGGGAGGTGTTGAGATGCCAGCACAGATGCTAGGTCGTCCTTCCAGAGGTCGCTACTGACGGCGTTCACGCGCACACTGCAGTCTTTGCCAGCAAACAAAGACCTCTTCTTCTCCAGCGTTGCTCGTATGGTGTTGCGAGCAGCTTCCTGGGAAACGAATTGAGTAATAAATAATAAAATTGTAAAAAAATAAGCAAATAACAAGTTTCATTTCGAATAAATACAGAAATAATAAGTTGATCGAAATGAAAAAATACAGGACACTGATGAATAAAAATGTTAATGTTAATGACGAAATTAATAAGAAGTTTATTTTAAAGGTTCGAAATCAAAATATCCTTCAGTCTCGGTGTTAGTTTTATATAGTCTATAATTTAGTCAGTCTATAGCTCTTGAAGTCTATAGCCCCAAATTGTGTAACAAATAGCTTATCACTTAGTAGGTATTCTAATTGGCCTAAAAATTTATGGATTAGCACCAAATTGCGTTACGAAGAGCTTATAATTTAGTAAGTATTATTAATGGCCTAAAAAATCTATGGGGTAGCAAGAAACGTAGGTGATGTAGGAGGAGGGAATTTCAGATAAGTTTCATGGCGTTAGATATAGCATGATAATATCTTCTTATAATTTCATTGTAGCACAGGAAATATTTTGAGGAATCTGAACAATAATCTACCGCGATAAACTGCGGTACTGTGAAATTAAAAATTGCTTACAGTGTAAATTAATTCACTAAAATGATATCAAAAGACAATAGAACTTGGAAGTAGCTTTCATCAACTAAATTTCTCTTCAAACTAAAAAGATGGGCAAAAGGCTCGATCCATTTACAAGGATTTAATTAAAAAGAAATATACACAAAATAATTGCAATGGTCAAGTTGACTACAATTTTTCCGTAATTCTGACGGAATTATCAGCGTAACTCGTCCACAAAGGGAAACGGCAAAGCTACGGAGTTCACCAGGAGTGGCAAAAGAGACTTTCTTGCTGCCCTTCCTTTTCTGAATCCCATGAGTAGACCAGCAGAGTATCATGAATACCAACATTATCATACATAAGATAGTAATTAGTGAAATCATGAAGAAAATTAATAAAATACATAAAAAAATTAAAAAAAAAACACGTTTTTCGTGTGGACTAAAAAGTAGAAAATAAATTATGGTTCGCCCCAAAAAAACGTGTGTCGGGCAGTTTTATGATTAAAGCGAAAAGCACACAACACACGAATTTTGGAAATTACACAATAAAGCACATCATCAAATTAAAAATGTACGGTGCAACTAAAAAGTCCCTCATATGCCACCTTGAATCACATCATCAAATTAAAAATGAACAGTGCAATTGTAAGGTCCCTCATTTTCCGCAACATAGCACATCAGCAAATTAAAAATTAACAGTGCAAATATTAAATCCCTCATATACCACTATGGAAATTCACCTTTTGGTTGAGTGCGACACCATCTTCGCAGTCCAGGACCACGCAGTCCGCAGCCACCGCAGCGACTTTGTCGATCTTGCGCTGGTCGCTGCCGGGCACATACATGACGGCCCGACGAGGCACGTAGCGAGGTGTCTGCTAGACAATAATAATAATAATAATAGCAATTTCAGCGTTTATTAGGCCGTAGGCCTGTTGCCGATCCTTAACATCGCAGAACATTCACAGCTTTTTGCGGTCTCGAACTCGCAACTCACTGCTACAATTCTGCTGTGCTTAACCGCCCGGCCTCCTTGCCGATTCTGACCAGAAACTGGCACACAGAGCTGGGATCGAACCCGCGCCTCTCTGCTCCAATCTTGGTACTCTGAACTCTTAACACTGTGCCATCCTGCTCAACTTTAGTCAATAATCAGCTTTAGAGAGTCAATACGTTTCATCCAAATTTTGAAGGTGACTCATAAAATGAAATTACATTTCGGCCAATGGTTATGGAACTTCACAGCACCATCACTAAATTAACCCTTATAAATGATAATTAACTTACCTACTGGCAGGTTAACCCGGCATTCCTCGGTATAAATAATATGATAGAGCGGTGTCAACTTGATTCTTAACCACCCGGCCATCGTGCCGATTTTAACAAGAATTTTCATGGTTTGTTGTGGGTTTCGAAACTCATACTCTTATCTACAATCTGGCGATCTTAACCACTCGAGATAATAACTGATAATTAAGAATCCGTTATCTGGAATCCCATCATTTCGACTCGCGTCAGCCCGTATCAAAATAATAATTTTGTAAATAACGTCGGATGACTGAAGAAAGCCAGGAACGGATCAAAATTAGTACGGAACTCCACTTTCAACCCTCGTTTTGAAATTTGAAGGAAAACTAACTTCATTTTTTACACAGAGCTGGGATCGAACCCGCGCCTCTCTGCGCCAATCTTGGTACTCTGAACTTTAACCACTGGGCCACCCTGCCTACCACTAGGTAGGCAGCTGCTCTCTTTTGTGCCTCAGTTAACGTATCTTTTGGCTAGTCAAGACAATAACCAAAGGTGGTTTTGGATGATGAGGTATAAAAACGATAATTTAGGAATATATCAAACACTTCACATTTTTTTTTATTGTGTTAAGAATATTATATCTTATACTTCATATTATGTAATATAATAAAGAAAAGAATCTTTGGACCTTTTGGGTATTGAAGCATTTAAAAAAGTTAGACTTGAATATTAAAATATCCAAAAAAACCGTTGTTTGGTATTTGGAGGAAAGAAGAAATCTTTAAAAATACAAAGGAATTTACAAATGTATAGTTTCGGTATTGAAGCATGTACAGAGGACGTTTGGTTTGGCTATAAGAGCACCTAACGACATGAGTTTCCATACGAAAGTTAAAATAAAAACAATATTTTAAATGAAAGATCATAAAGCTTCTGAAAATACCTAGATTGTTTAGACCAAGGTTCCTGGTTCCTGATATTGAGTTTCTTCAAATTTTAGACCTCCAGTATGATTTTTTTATTGCATAATTTCTAAGACCTGTCGTATTTCGTTCAGTACATACAGTGAAAATTACGTAAACTTCTGGAAAAAATTAAATAGTGTATCTTAATAATTGATTATTAATCTATAATTCTATATCAATATTTGAAAATAAATCTGAACTCAGAAGCTTGCGATTAATAACAGTAAAGCAAAAGGCACTCACCGCGACTGAAGAATAGAACTTGGACAGCACCGTACGCGCTGTATGGCTCGCTGTTCTGGTCAGCATGGCGGCGGCGTTTTTAGCGGAATGCATGTTATAATAATGTGCAGAAATAACGTTTTTTAACTTATTATAACTTTATCCTGTACCATGTAAAAAATAACCATTTCAAGCTTTGCACGGAATAACAATAGCTGTTATCAGCAATGAAATATGAATAAAAATTGTACAGAATTTCAGAATTTATTTGAAGTACCGTTATTTCTTTATTTTTAATTAACAATGATTTTTGTAAGCACATTATGGACCATCGATAAAATTTGCGGGTGAAAATGCAAAGTATAGAGTCGTTTTGACTTGAATATAAACCCGAGCAAGTAATTTAATTTTATTTCCTAATCATGCGTTATAGTTGTGACTGCTTCTGTTGCTGAGGTCATCTCAGCCGAGCTGTGGTCCTTGCGAGTGATAACAATGATGCGCGGTCCTTGAAATGATAACAACGATGCGCGGTCATTGCGATTGATAACAATGATGCGCGGTCCTTGAAATGATAACAACGATGCGCGTCCTTGAAATGATAACAATGATGAGCTTTCCTTGAAATAATAACAACGATGCACGGTCCTTGAAATGATAACAATGATGAGCTTTCCTTGAAATAATAACAATGATGCACGGGCCTTGAAATGATAACAATGATGCGCGTTCCTTGAAATTACAACAACGATGCACGGTCCTTGAAATGATAACAACGATGCGCGGTCCTTGAAATGATAACAACGATGCGCAGTCCTTGAAATGATAACAACGATGCGCGGTCCTTGAAATAACAATGATGCGCGGTCCTTGAAATGACAACAACGATGGGCGATCCTTGAAATGATAACAATGATGCACGGTCCTTGAAATGAAAACAACGATGCACGGTCCTTGAAATGAAAACAACGATGCACGGTCCTTGAAATGATAACAACGATGCGCGGTCCTTGAAATGATAACAACGATGTACGCTCCTTGTGATTGATAACAATGATGCGCGTTCCTTGAAATGATAACAATGATGCGCGGTCCTTGAAATGATAACAACGATGCACGGTCATTGAAATGATAACAACGATGCGCGGTCCTTGAAATGATAACAATGATGCACGGTTATTAAAATGATAACGATGCGCGGCCCTTGAAATGATAACAACGATGGGCGGTCCTTGAAATGAAAACAACGATGCGCGGTCCTTGAAATGATAACAACAACGATGCCCAGTCCTTGAAATGATAACAATGATGCACGGTCCTTGAAATGATAAAAACGATGCGCGGTCCTTGAAATGATAACAACGATGCACGTTCATTGAAATGATAACGATGCGCGGTCCTTGAAATGATAACAACGATGCGCGGTCCTTGAAATAATAACAACGATGCGCGATCCTTGAAATGATAACAATGATGCGCGGTCCTCGAAATGATAACAATGATGCGCGATCCTTGAAATGATAACAATGATGCGCGGTCCTCGAAATGATAACAATGATGCACTGTCCTTGAAATAACAATGATCCGCGATTCGTCTCCTTAAAGTGTCGAGGGAACTACAGTAGCAACGAGTGAACCATATTGTATTTTTACCAAACGTGGTCTTGACTTTTGCAACCATTTATCGGTGTGGCGGCAATAAAATGAAATAAAATAACTATTTAAATCAAGGAGCCAGATCTAACTAGACCATTGGTCCTGTCTCTTATACACATCTAGATGTGTATAAGAGACANGAAAGTCAGTTTTTATTTAGCTGAAAGTCAGTTCGGCTAAATAAAAGTCGTGACTAAAATCACGACAAAAGAGAGCTAAATAAAAAGTCGTGACTGAGGGACCGAGGGACTGTCACGACAGCAGATGTCCCTTAACACAGCAACTGCAGTGCTGCCCTGCGGTTGTGCCCAAGCCATCACTCATGACATAATCACCAAATATCATACAGGGAGAATAAGGGCGCTTGTTCTTGGTTATAAGTTTGGGTTATTTCAATTCTGCTTCCTAGGAGCCATTTTGCACATAGAACCATTTAATGCAAGCACTCAATAACCTCTAAGTATTACCTAAAAACAACAAGAAAAGAAAATGGGTGCTTGCAACAGGCACACAAGATTGCCTAGACGTTTGAAAAGGCTTAAAAGAACATCAGAAATTGGATAAGGTCTCTTGGCAAGAAGTTCAAGAGAAATTGAATCAAAATTAAATAATTGTCAAAAGAGGTACCGAATCAACTGAACATTTCAACAGAGATAAAACAGCAAGAAATCAGGAGATTTCTTGCTGTTTGTTAAGGTCTCTTGGCAAGAAGTTCAAGAGAAATTGAATCAAAATTAAATAATTGTCAAATGAGGTACCTAATCAACTGAACATTTCTACGGAGATAAAACAGCAAGAAATCAGGAGTACGTACTGGAGGAATAGGATCAATTCATCAGTTTTAAGAAGAAAGCAGGAAATACCATTTGGCCACTGATCGATTACATTAAGCAAAGTATTTTTAATTCTGAATTCAAGCTTAATTATTTCTTAGAGGTTAAAAAAACTCAAAATAGGAAAAAAGAGATCATTGGTCAAGGTACAAAAAATTTTACCAACTAAATTTGACATTCAAATGATCAAAAACGCTTAACGCCTCCAGTAGCGGAAAAATGACGTCCATACTAATTAGTTTCAAAAACTACGAAAATGCATAGTGCATTAAAGAAAATTAACACGTCAGCCACAGTGAGTATTTCAAAGCAATAAATTCAACTTAGTCATCATCAGCTATAAGTAACACTAGTTTACTTCAATATAAGGCAGAAAGTTTAGAGATCCATCACTGAAGGAAATATCTACATAATTCTGTAAATACTTTTTGAGCTTACTAAAAAAAATCAAATGAGCACAACAATGACGAACAATTTTAGTAAAAATTTAGGAATACTGGATTGTTTGAAACAATCTAAAAATGATCATTAACAATTTAACGCATCAATTTCAGTAGTACAATGATTAGTGCAATGATCACTAACAATTTAACCTAACAATTCCAGAATTGTCTTTTACAATCATAAAGAACAGCACAAAAGGACCATGAAATTTGAGATGCATTTCTAATGTTGAAATATTCTCTCGCAGGAAGCAACAATGTTCAAAATATTCATCATATAATTATCTACTTTAGATGCACTATTGAGGATGCAACTTTTTCGGTCCCCCTACCCGTCCACCCCCTCCACCTCTCCCTCCCCGCTCGTTGCCACCTCCACCACCGCGGCCACGACCACCGAATGCTCCTGGAAGTAAAATTTTAATTAGTACATATGCACCAATATCTTTCTGAATTAGATAAATTACTTTGATTAGAAAATTGTCTAAGTAGAAGTTATCGAGAATTTTTGAGGAAGATAAAAAATACAATGAAAAATATTTCGAAGGTTACAAAGTAAACCTTCAATAAAATACATCTCCAGTATACAATAGATATGGTAGATGTAGAGGTGTTGATATTTGAAATTGGGGCATATCTATAATGAAATGAAGAGAAAACTTTTATTGTCTCTAGCAAGATATTCACACAACTTCAAGCAAGTTAATTATATAATTTATTCATTCAACACTATTTTCTGAATTCATACAACATGATCACCATGAAACATAAGTTCTTTTTGCTGGTATAACAGATACTGACCTCGAGATGAGTTGTAATGACCCCGTCCTCTACCAGCTCCACCACCACGCCCTCTGTGGTCACCTCGTCCCCGCCCTCGTGCCACGACCTCCTCCTTGACTAGGTCTATAACTTCGTCAGGCAGCCGCATATACTTGATGGTAGAGCCTCTGATGTAGCACTCAGGCATCCGCCAGAATTTATCACCATCCTATAAAACATTCTATTATTGTAAAGAGCAGGCAGTAAAGAGCAGAGAAAATAACAAATACGTAATTCAATAGTTTTTCAAATAAGGGTGCATTGTGAATAGTACAGGTTACATTATTATAGTACAAAGTGTAGAACAGCTTATTGTCTGGTGCACTGCATCAGACAATAAACAAAATAAGCATTCAAAGTTGGGCATTAAAGAGCAGAGAAGATTTCAAATAATTCAATAGTTTTCTGATATTAATTTCCTTTAAATTTCAGTTTTTCAAGTAAATTTAAATTTATTAAACAGGAAAAATAAATATAGGTACATAAAATGTTGAAAATTGTTAAAATATATTTAGAAAAACTTTGTACCATTGCAATGAACTAGATTCACACTTACAATTAAATTACCAATTTTTGAAAAGAATACCAGGATGTTGGAATTTTAAATTTTAATATATATAAATTGCAAAAAAAAACATAAATACAAATAAATGTGTGATGTAATAACAATAATGCATATCATGTTTATTGAGTAGAATAGATACTCACCCTTGATGTGCAGATGACATCTTTTAGATTAATATTCATCCAGTTGTCACAGGAGATCAGATGCCCATTATAAGTCTCTCCATTCTTCAACTCCACCAGCATTGGGTGGTTTTGTGCGGTGTGCATCAGTGATAGTGGGAGCTACGGGTATTTATGAAAGAGTCAAATTAATAATAAAAATCTTATTTTATAAAATATAAATGTGTAAGAGTTTTTCTAGCCAATAAATAAAATATTGCAGCACTTGTTGAGAGGCATATTGGTATGTCTGCAGAGGACACTTAAGCCATGTATATGATTTTCACATGAGCCACAAGTCAAGACAAGATCATCATTTCTATTTAGATTCCAATTCCTTCAGTACCATTTAGAATATTGCACATAATTTTCCACAAAGCACATTATCACAGCCTATTCACAGGTTTGAATGAATTCCAATGAAGTTTTTGAAAATCACAGGCAAAAATTAACCTTTTTATGTTTTTTCCCCTGAAATTTGAAGAAACAGCAGGAAAACAATAGAAACAGGTAATATCATAGTCAGTATGTAATTATAGACATTATTTAATTATTCACGGGTGGCTTGACTGGCTCTGGCTTCTACTAAATATCCCAGTTTGGCTATAGTAGCTATGGCCAAAAAAGATTAGAATCTGGAAGATAAATTGATTTCCATAAAACTATCTTCAGTATCTTGAGGTCATTGAGGATATTTTCTTACAAATTTCTACATTCACTTTTAAAATTAAATATAACAAGAATGTAGCCAATAGTTTAATTTTTTAGATTTATTTACTCTATATGCAATAAGCAAGGCATTTAAAATTTCAAATGATTCAATAACATTACCTAATTATTTCAGCTACAAATAAAAAAATGCATCATTAATGAAAGCAATAAGTTATTCTATCAACTTTAACCCTGCAGGCTAGGTATCAAACTTGAAGTGTTATAAATTAAATTCTTTTTAAAGAATAGATACTTTTACAACTTTTTACAATCTTAGTTTTTATTTGCTATTTTTTTATTTATGAGAACAGTTAAAGAACTACATTAATAACCCATAAGTTGCCTCTCAGCACTTCAGCAGACAGCAGACTAGTGCATCACTCAACTCACTAGGCCTAGTCAGTGTTCAATGTTCATCAATAATGACAATAAAAACCATGCACTAGCTAATAGGCTAGTTTAATACTGGTCAGAATTACAGTTTATAGTGTTCAATCATAAATTAATAACTAAGAAGCTATTTTGATGATGCTAGAAAGATGTTCCTTAGTTTTTTTTTTAACAAAATAGACCATTTTTTTGCTATTTTTGAAGACTGTCAACGTAAGTTCTGAGGAATGAGTGTAAGTTACCAAAGTTAGCAGAATTGCCTATTGCTGTTTGATACTTTGAATTGATTGTAGTGGCTTTGTTGAAATATGAATAAATACATCTACTTTCTGGTCTCTTACATTCCTTCCTTCATCCTTCTTATGAATTTAAGCAACACTCACCATTTTGGCAGAAAACCACTACCGTACAGTTCCAGTGTTCGAGGAGAATTGTAGTTATTAGTTAACGTTTTTGAGACAGAATAGTATCACTACGCACTACAATAATATTGGTTGAAAAAACGAATGACAACACAAATTCCCTGAGTCCTTATTTCACGCATAATATTTCTTCAAACGCTAATTTAGATTTGTTTTTTTTTTATTTGCTCATGAAGGGACTCCAAAAATCGTGTTATATTTACAGAGAAACACAATGCTCCCGGCTCCGGACAACACTCATCCGTTTTACGATAATCAGTAATGTATTCTCAGCTATTTTGTAACTTTTATATGCCTGAATAATTTAGAGAGCATGGTTAAACTTATATATATAGCTCAAACATGTTAGAGAGTGTGAGATGGTATTTAGATGTTTCCTGATTTTCTACTTTTGTTCCTCCATTTATAAAAATTAATTTATTATTGTATCATGATCGATAGCATCATCTCACCAGAATACGAGAGATAAACGGTTGTTGTGAAAAAAGTATTCCTACTAAACGTATTATTCATCGTCTTGTTAATAACTAGGTACCAAGTTTCATTCCAAAAATTTCTGAGCGGTGTGTACCCATTACTAATCTCATATCCTCTACCTTTGATTTCGAATTTATTGCTTTGATTTTTATAGAAGTTACTTCCGTATCTTATTTCATTGACGTCTCGGACAATTTTGCGGCCGGTTTCATGGCAGGTCTCCATGGTCATATAATATAGATGACCACGGAATATCTCCCTATATATTGAACGCTGCTCGATGAAACTTGGTACACTTATTCATTAGAGCCTAACGGTGACGTTTAGCTCGTGAAATTTTTCCAATTTCACCTTCATTCGTGAGTAACATGGTGAAACTGGCCGAAATTTGCAGTGACCAAGATTCTTCTAATCACTTAACAGATTTGAAGGAAACTATGAATATACATTAAAAATACCCAACGGTGATGTTTAGCTCGCGAGAATTTTTTAAATTCTGCCATCTCCATTTGCTCTCGAAATATTTCTTTACACTCTCAATCACAGTTTCTCCTTCAGACAAAAAAAAAATCATTGCTATCCACTCCTCACTTGTTCTCTCTAAACCAACTCCATTAAACATTACAACATACAACTTTATACCATCAAATGCACCACAGATACCTTTTCATCCCCATCACTCAAAGAGCATTTGACCTCCCTCCTCTCATTTCACCTGTATGTATCGTACGTCCAATCACACCCATCACGCACGACCTCACGCAAACGGAAGGACCACCTCATGAACCATTATCATACATACATTCACATTTTTGCATCGCTGCCATCTAATAAACTTTTAGAGTACTCTTTTTCTCCATCATACGCTTTCACACCTTCAGGACCTATTTTCCACTCTCTTATTTATTTATCTTTGTCATTCCAATCTATCCTAGCCGCAACCCGTATTGTCACCATCCACTAGTCTTTAGGTCCAGCGGGCCCTTGGCGCACCAATTCTTCATGCAGACCACACTTACCGTACGCACAACTGCACGGAATCTACGTGCCCGTTTGCTCACCCTTATATTCCACGTATACATTTTTCTCGCCAAACGTTCATCAACCATTCATTCCAGTATCACTTTATACCTCAAAACTGCTCTCATTTTTACACTCGAACTCTCCAGCGGAATCTAGCAAAACGCAACTTATGCGAAACTGCATCAATGACAAGTCCTTCAATTCTAAAAGGATATGTTGAGGTTACAGAATATAAATAATTTTTTTATCAATGTAACACGAGGTAGTTATTACAGATTTTTACATTTCGGTTTTGCTTGAAAAGAAAAAAGCGTAACTTTTGTGCATCTGAATCAATCTTAATTCCTTTAGACTTCGAAAGTTCGACAGGCCACATCAGGCCTACATCATTATGCCGGTCAGCGCCGACATCATTATGTTATGTTTATGTAATAAATGCCGTAAAACCTGTAACACTTCCTTCCATGCCGAATCTCTAATAATTATAATTAGTTATATTATGAATTCGAGTATTGAGAAGTGTCGATGCAGTTACTATACTTTATACACTTCTTCCATGTGAGCGAATATTTCTTTATATTAGTAACAAAAACTAATTAGTGGTACTATAATGAAGGCTCAGTTAATATTCTTTCACGATACTCTATCAGTCTATGATAAACACCAGTTAAAGGCAAAATTTGGCCTTACTTAGCAGTATATTTAAGGTATTTCATGAACAAATAACTGTTATATAGTGACAATTTGTAGGTAGTACCGTAGTGATTATAGTTCGCGAACAATAAAAAATACATTGAAAAGCAGTCAAAGATATCGAAAAAGTCTGCGAATGATGAGAAGTAGAATCAATAAGATTCAATGTCAGGGTTCCTTTAATTTTATGGGATCCTTTAGCTCAGCTGCAGGATTGCCACGCAAGCATCCGAAACAGTTGCAGTCGGTAGTCTGAGGAACGGGACTTGCAGTTTGCGGTGCAGACAGTCGACGCTCTCACGCTGGGGTGGAAGGACGCGACGGGTGATTTTACTTGATTTTGAATATCGGTGTAAGCTCCTTGCCGCCGTGACCCGTGACGATGGCCGAATATGGGAATGACCAGAAGAAGATGAAAACTGTGGTAAGAACTTATTTTAATCGTTTCTATTTAACGATAAATCTTTGTATTAACAGTAATTTTTATTATGAATTAAATATTTTTTAGCTGTAGATAGTTCCGTTTGTTTATGGCACTCCAGACTAAATGGTCTCGCTATACCGCCAATCGCCCAATGACCTACAATTTGACGCTCGTCAGTCGTCAGTCACTATAAACTGTATATATAATACTAGTTGTCTAATTAGAATTGTAATAAATTATAGGGTTTATAAACATATGAATGAATGTCACTATGTCAGGACTTAGGAAGGAGGGCTACATAGCCTACAAAGATGGCTTTTGTATTAATGTTTAAAAGTTTAAAACTTCTATGTATTAAAGGCTGGTGACTTGAGTGCTGTGGCAATATTTCCGTCATTGATGGAAATTGGAAGTCAGTATAGACTATGGTAGAATTGCCACTGCACTTGAACAAAATTGCCATTCATGCTTGAAAAGTAAGCCAATAGAATAGACATTCTGACCTAGTGAGTAATAGATGGGAATAAATTTATTTAGATTGTTCTCAATTTTACCATAAAGCGGTTGAAGTAAATAAAGTAGTATATAATACATATTACCCAGTAGTGCCAGTACTAAAATGCTTTGATTTGATTTACTGGATTAGATTCAATAAATTATTTATTGTTCCTAATGGAAAGTAGTAACTTAAAACATTTCAGTGGAAACTTGTGTCATTGAATGCTTAGCTCACTGGTGTGAGAGAATTGTATACAATAGTTGATAGAATTTATTTCTACTTTTATTATTAACTTAATTCAGCAATGAAGCTATCTTACATCCACCAGCTCAGAGTCCATTCTGTAAAATTAGGCAATAGCATAAGCCACTCGTGAACAAGGCTGAAATGCCTGTGCTCTGGGCTTTTCGATTCAGCTTGGGAACTTGATCAGTTCTGAAATATCAGCTGAATAAGAAATGAAAATTTTGTTCCAGATTTTATATCAAATTTGATACGTGGACTTTTTGGTATAGGTAAGGTATATCCGATATCCCCTCCTGATATCTGAATACAAGCCCAATAAATAATTCTTTACCTTTTTGAGTGCATTTGTGAATGTCTGGTCAATTTTGTTGAATGTTTGTTGAACAAAATTAGACTTGCCAAAGTATCACTAGTGGATACTAGTTTCAGAACTCTCATGCTAATAATCTAAAATCTCTTTAACAGTTTCCAATCTTGCTATAGTCAAGAAGAGTGTTTTTGTGCAAGTCTAAGTCAAAGTGAAAAATTTGATGTCGATTCAGAACATTTAGCAGCTGTCAATTGTCATCCATAAATTTTGAAAATGACTTGTAGGATAAATTTCTATTTGCTATTTTAAATATAATACATCAAATATTCTGAAATTTTATGCAGAATGAGTTGTGTACACCAGCTGAATTGAATTATAATTTTAAAATTGTAATGAATTGGGCAAGAACCATCCCAGAAAGCCTTTATATCACTGAAGCAGGGTGGCAGATGTGTGCACTTGAATTCTTGAACAATCTTGTAATAAAATGTTTAGAATTATTATTGAGAAGTTAAAGTTTTTGGGTTGGTTAACAGAGAGCTATGTCTATGTATCTTCATGAAGATGCATAATGCATATCAACAAGAAATGCAGAAAGGGTAACAGATTCACTGTATTACTATTTGAAAGCCACAAGTTTCATGGTTTTCAAATCTTCCTACCAAATAATGCTCAACTACATTTGGTAGGAAATAGATACCACTGAAGAAGTTTCTTATGATTAGCTGGCAGATGCTCTATGGACTGATTGATGGTTCATTTATGGTACAAAAATTATCTCGGAAAGTGTTAAAGGAACATTATTCGGGTATATATTAGCTATTTGACATAAGGAGCTGGAAATTTACTAGTGGATATCAGTAATTTAATCTTTTGAAGCTTTTCTATTCAAACTCAATAATACTAGCAATGCAATCAACTTGCATCCCTAAGATGTAATGAATGGTGAAGCTGATATACATCTAATTTTCCCTTCCTCATACCATTGTTAGTGCATTTTCTCATTTATGGAAAAAATGCACTATTGTGCTTGCCATGTCCGTCTGTCTGTCTGTCTGTCCATGACTTCATGTTTTCATCAACAAGAAAATGCGCTCTCTGTCACCCACTGCAGTGAGTACTGGGTTATATTTTTTCTATGATCACTTGAACTTGAATATAGCTCCTGTCAACATATTTAGCTATCCATCTGCTTCTGACAGTTGAAAATTTTTGGGGATTTTTAAGTCTTGTGCAGACCAATGATCTTGTGAGGCATGCCCAGAATGGCCACCATTTTAATGAATCTTGTTAATTTGGTCTTCACATTTATTTTGCCCTCATTCTCAAAAGTCAAATTTACTTTGAGACTTTAGAAAGATAACAATAAACATGTTAATGGACAAAGTAAATTTTTAATGTGTTCTTTCAAATTTTGTTATTTATAGTATGTGAAATGTGTAAGAATCATAATAGATGAATGTGGCATTATTTTAAAAATTGTATCAGGGAAATGGAAGGTAAATTGCTGACAGGAAAATTCTTTGCTCAATTACATACAATTAATTAAATTTTAACCAGTGGAAATTTCTGAGTAGTAAGTGATCATATATATTGCGGCTGAGCACGATTTTCTTCCTTGCAAAGTAATATTTGATTTTCCACGTGATGATTTGGAAGTTTCTTGGATTAAACGATAATGTATGATTTTGCCTTGTCACTTTGAGCTCGATCACCATGACTTGCAATGCATGCAGTTTATGGTTATCATTTCCGTCCAATATTATCTCACGCACGTGACTCGTAATGACTTGCAGTACTTGAATGACAGCATAACCAAAAACTCGATTTTGACACTCAAAATCACCGTTGACTTTCAGGTATCAAATTCTTATTTGTTCTGGACTAACCTTCAACCTTCTAATCTGGTTCAATACTAACTGCAAAACTTACCAACGATCGAAACACGATTGACGTGGTAACGCTGCTACCCAGAGAACGAAACTGAGTCTCATAGAAGCCGTTGCCTGTGGCAACTAGAAGTGCTGCTATCTATGAGGCCTTGCCCTGCTGGTATAAATATTTGACCACCAGAGCAGTGCTGACACTAGGTAAAGAGAGTCACGCGGCCAGGTAACCTCCAGTTACGTCTCCCTCTCATTACACTCGCTCCGCTACGCGAATTCAATAATTTTCACGAGCATCTTAATTGAGAAGTTATAACAACATGTCTAGAGCGAGACAGTTGACGGCTTCTGAGGTAAGTTCTATGTCTCTTCTCGTAAATTCCAGAATTTGGTTTGTCTGGCAAGTTTCGGCATATCGACTTCGTATTTGATTTATCCGAGGACCAGATCATTTTTATTTATCAAGGTGATCAAAGATTCGGTTAGTCTTCTGCATTTCGTTCCACGAAATTAAATGATACTTAGCCACGACAGTGTTTGCCTTTGCCAATTAAAACTTAGGTATTTTGATGAAGTATTCCGTTTTGCGAAAAAATATTTTTTTTACAGGTTGCTGAAATGCCATCATGTAGATAGATATCCAGGCTTTTCCAATGTCTTTTAAGCTTGAGTTCCAAAGCAGAGAATCAGATGTACAATAAGTTGATTCGTCTTGAAAATCTCTGTTAATCCACCTTGCGCGATTTTCTTTTCCATTTACTAACCAAGGCAATCTCACGAGCGTGAGGAGGTCCAAGGTCCTACGAGGATCCCCATTGTTTCTGCCCATTTTACCAGTGTTATTTGCATCAGATTACTGAAATGAGCTATCTGGGCATGAAACTAAATTTTAGTGAGCAAGTGTTTGAACTGATTACCTGTTACATTTTATTTCAATTCTGATATAAAAGCGATACTTTTTAAATAGATAAATTATTTTAACTGCATCTTTTATGACTGCAAACGGAAGTTTGTGTTTTCCACTTGCATAGCTTTAACATAACATTATATTGAAGAGACATTTTAAAAAGTTTATCACAATTTAGAACATATAAGAACATTATAGTCAGACCAATCAAGCCAGAAAACGCAACCAGTACCCGAGCCTTTTTTGGCTTGTTCTAGCAGGTACTATTTAAGGAAGTAAATATATTTTCTTGTACCTGAAACGATATTGTACACAGAAAAATTAGGAGTAAAATGAGCTGTTAGTTTGAACGTAATCGACACAAATTACTAACTGGTGTCCCAGCATGATCCTTCTTGGTATTCAATGATATCTTCATGAGCCATATGCATTGGGTTCTTTCTGTGCGAATTAGTTTTCGATTTGTGCACATGTAAGAGTTCGGTTCATTAGGATGTAATCAGTTCATCGAGGGTCTAGAGAACGAGTTTCTTCGATAAAGTGAAGAGCGAAAATTTAAAATTTTTACTTATTCAGCATGTTCACGGGCACTTTACTGTCAAAAGCTGGATTCTTCTGTACAAGTGTGCTATCTATGCTGATAGTGCATCGAAGATCGTTTGTGCTGATACTGCATCATATGTGTTCGTTATCGACGAATTTTCTAGTGAGAACGAATTGAATTTCTCTCCGGCTTTAAAATGAATTTTACCGGCTTTTGAAGTTATTAGGGAGAGTAACTCTTGAATTTATTCGCATGGCCTTGGTAACTCGTCGAGTAATAGTATAGTAGGAACTATCTTCGCATTTAAGAATCGGCTAGGTTTGGCCTGTCCCCGATTCCTGTACTTTTCGTGACTTATTCACAGATCTAAAAACTGACATTTTGACCAGATCTTTGTAACGGACTGTGGTTTGAAATCGTTACTGGACTTCCATTAGTTCAACCGTAGGGTACTAGGCATTTCAAGACTGAACATATGCTCCTGTATAGCCTTATCTAGTCTATTCTTGAACGTGTTCACTCTCGGAGCGTCAACAATTTCAGAGAGGCTGTTTCACATGTCATGAACAATGCATTTGCGAACGTTTCATAGCGTCCAGCAGGCTTGA